AGCATACAAAAAACCCAAGAGGAGTTGCTCAAACCCACACCCTGTGATATCCCTTAACAGAAAAATACTGGTCTGCTTTCCAGTAACCCATAAGAAGCTAATTAAGTAAATTAAGCCTATGGTAGGTAATTTAAATTCACTATACACAGAAATTTGCATATACTATTTCAAGGGGTTTTGAAGTTTGAAAAAGATGAAGACTGCTAACCTAGTCTAATGTGCAAAGTGGCCTAATGCCCTGCAAGGGGGGAAACCCAAGTTCAAATCCTTGCTCCAGGGATGTGGGTGAATGGCAAGGTCAGGGCAGCATGGGCTGGGGGTTTGCTGACAGCCCCAAGCCACAGAGTATTTTGGCACTGGTATCGTGATTCTGTGAACAGTCTTCAGGCTGTCAATTTTGTTTTGATGCAGAACAATAAATGTTGAAATCTGAAGGCATTGTGCAGGACAGAAAAGCTTTTTCTAAACAGTTATGCCAGTACGGGAGATGGTAGCATTTTCACAAAGCCGAGCTGCCTGTGTGGAAAGGCTGAAAGGTAATGAAAGTGGCAGCACAAGTAGGTAAGAAAAGGGAAACTGAGCTACAAGTAACACTTTATAAGGCTGAAAAAAATTCTCAAAGAGAACATAACAGTAGAAATTATTTCCGAAGCTACATGTCTTCTAAAGAATCTAAATGATAAGAATATCAGCTTTTATGCACTTTGATATAAGACCATGTAAACAATTTTAGGGGGGAACAGAACAAAGAGGTATCATTATTCAGGAGTGCTACTAAATAAAGTGCAAAAATCAGCAAGTTAAGAGAAAAAAAAAACCCAACCCAAACCAACCAAGCAAAACCAGAAATAGAAAAATGAAACATCTGGCTTTTTACCGTTACTACACATATGTGACTAAGCGTGCGCGGCTTGGGTAGCTTTGCCCAGCACGGGCTGCTGCGGGGCGCGGGGACGCTGCGCCGGGCAGAGCTGGCGGGGGCCTGGACGTGGGTGGGCACAGCGCCGGCCCCCGGGGACAGCGAGGGGCACGCAGGCATGAAAAGCGACGTTTTGTTCTCAGCTGCCCCCGCGTCGCCAATTTTTTGGTGCGCGCCCACACGCAGAGAGCAGAACCTAAGACGCTACAATATGTTTATTGTGGGTAAACCCCACAGAAGTGCCAGTGCACAACTGGCGGGGCTGTGCCCAGGGTCGGGATGCCGGCCCTTCTCCCAGCCCACCAGTCCCGCTGGGCCGGCAGCCGGATGGCCGATCCTGTGCCAATCCCTCTCTGAAGCAGTGCGACCGCCCAGGGCAGGAGAATCAGGCTTAGGTTTGGGGTCAGCACTTTTTTTTTTTTTTGTTTGTTTTCCCCCCGCATGAAAGGCAGCTATTTTCTTTTTAAAGTTGATATTTACCTTCAACCTCCCCCGCTTGTCAGCTGCTTTCACGGAGGAATTAGCTTACTGCCACCTACGCTACTAGCAAACGAATGCACAAGTGCGCCCAGCATTTATGATACTTCTACTGGCACTCAAAGTTGCAGGTGAGTTGGAAACCACCATTTCACATGGCTGTTGGATGGAAGAAATACATTTAGAGACCCCAACCGAATGTTCAGAAACACAAGGCCACAAGACGGCATGCAAGATGGAGATACTGAGGTATAAGTAACACTAGTGGGACACATAGCAGACATCAGTGTGGAACTTTTTGGTTTTATTTAAAACTCTGGTGAGGTGAGTATGAAAAATGTAGTCTGACCAACAATCATGCATGAGGTTTTCTTTCAGAGGGCAGACATATTTCATCTTCATCCACATAAAGGGAAAAACTGTGGTTACAATAGAACCATGAACAGAAAAGCAGACACTACAAAAATGAAAGAAGTAAAAAATAGCAGCAATTCTAGTACTAAATGGAAATAAATGACTCATGATAAGACAGTTTAGGGGTACCAGACAGGGAAAATTTTTGAGCTGGTCACATTGTCTTCGCTATTCTCTGACAGTATCACTTTCCACAGAAAATCCTGGCTAGAAATGCTGTCTGCAGTGGTTTTAATCTTGGAAATTATCCACGTGTGGTGGCTGTGTTGAGACTGGAAGTTAAAAGGCCACAGGTGGTAACAGCCTGTGCCTCACCGCCTGTCACAGCTGACTGATGCCTGCCTCTGGCCCCAAATGCCTACATTCAGCCCCCCAGCTGTGTTTGCCCATCACTGAAATACTGCACGGGCTGTGAGCATGCCAGCAAGGTAAGGGGACAAGGAAGGAAAGCAGGCAAGCTTGGGTCCCAGATCCTCACACAGATAGACCTTGCAGTAAGCAGTCCTTGAGAAAACAACTTGAGTCCTTGTGCACAGCGAAGAGCGGGTGTTGTGTCACTGCCAGCGGCAACAGTTGAGTGAGAAAATACAGAAAAATCAAATTGGGAACCTCTGACCTATGGAATTGGTCCAGGGTCTGTTGTGTGAGAAAACACATCCTACACCATGGGAAAGGCCAGGGAGACAGTCTGGTACAGATTACTCCTTATGCAGAGATTTCATTGCTAGGAGTATCAAAATAGATTTTCTGAGTACTTGTTTCCTTCTTGCTTCAAGCTCTTCAGCTAACCCTGGGAGCCATGCAGGTACATACAAAGCTTCCAACTGGAGAAGAAAACAGCAGGTCAGGCTGAAAGGTTTTGTTTTGATTCTTAGATTTTGTTCTTTCCAAGATAGGGAGAAACAGCACAGCAGTCAGAGTGTGTTTTTATTGCGTGATACATGAAGACAGGACAGGGAAAGAGAACACACATCCTAATATTAAAGCAAACACTGTTGCAGAGAGCTCAGTGGTAAGAAAATGCTGCATAATATATACAATCAAGAGAATATAGGCAAGGCATTTCTTGCACTGACCTGTTACTTAGCATTCAATAACTCACTGCCAAATCAAAAATACAATTACTGAGATCCCACTGCAGAAAAAAAGCGTAGTTCAACTTTCTGGCAAAGCTCACAGTTCAATTACCCTGTAGCAAATCAATCAAATGTGTGTGCAGCAAGCAATGAAACAGTACAGATGTCACCTCGCTGCTTTCAGCTGAACACGGTTTTTATTCTTTTTAAAAATCAGGAAGTAGTGGCAGCAAATATTTACAAAGTTCACATTATGCAGAAGATAAAAAGGAATCTATCGGTGTGATTTAGAGCGGCAGAGAACAGTGTTCAGGGCATACGAAACAATAAATAATGAACATTCATCACTAGTAACCTGGTGCAATGATTTGATTTTTACAGACACTGAGGTTCGTGATACCGGTTTAACATCATATCCGCCACGTGTCAGTAGCTACAAGCCAGGCACGCCGAGTCAATCCTGCACTGACCCACGTGCAGACACGTGAGCCAGCGCTGGTGGACGTATGCTCAGGACACTGGGTGTGTATCCGCACGGAGAATGCTGCTTAACCGACCACAGAGCCTTCTGCTTGGATGGCGTTGGTCTGAGCTGCGCACGTAAAAGCTTACCAAGGGGAGCAAGGTGCTGCACTAGGCAGGTGACGGCTTGGAAAGCTGCACACACTTTGTTGCTTCATGTGACTCTTTTTGTACGTTTGTACAAAACTGCACTCATGTTCACGGAACTCCGAGATACGCACCTCCTCCCAGGTCTCACTAGCATCTCCTACAGACTCCAGTTGTGCGGTAAACTACTGAGAAAGACCAGGGACAAACTATCCTATTTACCAGCAGCTGAGTGAGGAAGGATGACACAAAGTTTATCTTGACTGGAATGGAGATCTTTAGTTTCCAGCAGGGATCGTTACACAAGGCTGTTTTTTGGGGGCTGTTGTTTTTTTTTTGTTTGTTTGTTTGTTTGTTTTTTGTTTAGTTTGTTGTTTATTTATTTATTTATTTATTTATTTTTGTTTGTTTGTTTGTTTTCCTGCTATTAATACATCAGTCCCAGAGCTGATGCAAAATTTCGCAATCACTTTCAAATGGCTGAAGCTAACTCTGAAATTAAGTCCTCTGACTTAAACATTTTTTGCTGCAGTGTACTGTTGGGATGAGTTGTAATAGAGAACACGTTCTGCTTTCCCTCTGCCTGTGACTGTTATTTGGTTATGGCTACAATAAATGCATTTTTAAAAAAATGGAAAATAAATGAATTCACAGATTTGATTAAAACTGAGCCTGAATTTTGAAAGAATATCAAGTCTACCTCCGAACAAAACTATTTTAAGTTACCAAAACAACTGATTCACTGCAACTGATTAAGTACATATAACAATGGAAATTAAAAGAACACCACTCAAACACACAAAGTTAATTCTCACTGTAGTTGTAGAATTGATATTTTGAAACAAGAGGCATCTTAAAAAATTTTATTTAGCATATCCAAAAACAAATGTTACAAAATTTTTTCTAGAAACATAGGCAAAAATGTTTAAATAGGATAATTTAATGTAAACCAAACCCATTTAAAATATGCAATACTGTAATCAGAGGTTATTTACATCCAGTGAAGACAGAACAACCTTCACTAATGCTAAGTATCATCTTAGCAAGTAATTAATTTCCATGATTTCTTAAAACAGCGACACTTATGTTTAAGCTAGTTTTAGTAGATAAATCATTTCAGTCCTGATACAAGATGAAATTCAATGTTATTTTCAGAAGTGGGAAGGGCAATATCCTGACTATTCATGTCATCAGTCAAGATAGCACTGCATTCAGACTTGCAAAACCCTTAGAAAGGTACAACTGAAAATTTATAACATTTGCTGCATGACAATGTAATTACAAGACAGGTAAAACAACTAAGTGACCTGGGAAAAAAAGCGGTGTAAAAACCCAGCACCAATGAAATTTTATTTTTCAATCAGATTAGAAAAGCCAGCCACAAGGCTAAGCTATTTTCCCACATTTCACAACACAGAACAAAATAATTAGTAATTTGACATTATTCCAACATAAAGCTGTTCATGACTTATAGGAAATATATTTGGATAACTATCTCACACAGGTTTTGTTTAATTATGAAATTTATTCACTGAGACATAAGTTTATAGCCCACAATGGCTTTCGTGCTCATGTACATGGGAAAAGCATAGCCCAATAAATTCAACTCACAGATTGTTTTAGATATTTGGTTGTGGCTTTTTTGGAAAGACAAGCATCATTTTTGCATTGCACATCAAAGTATCTACAGGATACAGCAACACATTCAACTTAGAAGCCAGAAACATAAAGCCGTTAGAAGTGATAGTGGAATATAGAGTAATTGAAAAAAAAGCCAGCTCATCTCTAAACTAGGGTGCCCATGTTCAGGGGATGATGGCAGCTGCTGAATGACCTAATGTAAAATGGGTGATCTCTGTGCATTCCCTACAAAAATGTCTTATATCCAAACAAAAAAAGTTACTGTTAAAACTACTAGCTGTGCTGGCAGGCACAGGAGATGCCAATATGGCATGGACAGTGAAATACCAGCTCTTTTTGAGGTGGTTCCCGCATGTTGAGATGAGGCACTTTGTTTTGGTAATGTCTGCCTAAAGCAATATATTAATGTTGCTCAGTATAAAAGGAGCTTTAACATCTAGAAGTGGCAAATCAGGACACACAAGAGCTAAAAGCACTTCAAAGAAAAGGTCAGACAGTCCAAAAACAAGACCCAGGCAATTCTTAGTACAAGTGTTCAAAACATACTGTACTTATCTGACCAATAACTATTATATATAATATAAATAAGAGTTATCTTTCTGACAACAGTTTGGCCTGGAGTTCATCTAATAACTCTAATAGAACTTCCCTTAGCAACTGAAGATCTCCAGTAGACAACTTAGACAACCTACTCTCTGTCAAAAATGAGAACATAAAATTAACAATAAAATCCTCACTTCATTTGTCAATACATTATATCAAATTCTTACAGAAGTGTGCATATATGCACCCATCTATGACCGGACTTTTTTTTCAGCTGCTTTCTGTAAAACGCCATAGGGAAAACACGGGCCAAGCCCCCATGAGATGGTAGACACCAGCACACATCTCAGGCATTAACAGCAATTTCAAATGGATGGCACTGGCATTTTATTTGGGGTCTCTGGAACAAGATACAGTTTGGGTTTCTGTGATAAGAAAGCTGACATAACACAGTAGCCCTGCAGGTCTAAATACATTTCAGTTGACACTAATTGCTTAGTAGAACACAGAATGATACTAAAGCTAACGCCACCCTACCTTGGTATGGGAAGAAAGAAAACTGAAATGAATATTCAGAACTAAACCAAGCAATGAACTTCTAAATCAAGCTGGGAAAAAAGGATCGCCACACTACAGCTTGCACCACCATAACCATCAGCATCTAAACCAGGTGGTCGAAATTCCATACAAGCCTCTATTCTAACTTGCATCAAGTCTGACAGAAATCCACACCTCTTCAGCATCCCAAAGTCACTCCAGACTAATGCTTGGGGCTATGCCTGCATTGTGTTCTTAGCAATACAACAGGGTGGGTCCTCATGGCTCTGCCCTACGTTAGGGGGGCCCCAACTCGCAGCTGGAGAGAGCAGAGCCAGCCTGGCCACATCTTCTGGAGCCAGCCTGGACTAACATGCTTCCCAGCCCCTCTTACTCTGATGAGCACCTGTAACCTAAGAGCTGTGAAAACAAGGCTGTGTACACCGAGAACAGAGTGCGCTCTAAGAATTATCATGGATAAAAGCACTACGCTGTTCTCAGAAACAATGAAAAATGTAAGTAGCTTTATTTCATTACAACATATTGTTAACTTTTGCAACAGAAGCACCTTGTTGGAATGGGTAAGCAGTAAATATGTTTGTTGTTGAAAAAGGTATCTATATTCTCTGCAAAGGAATTCCATAGCCACCAATAATACAAGGTGTACACACAGTACGTGCAAGTATGCAAGAAGCAAAAGAGTCTGAGGATTTGAGGAAGGGATTTTATTTCAGAGTTGGAAAAAAAAAGTCTCACACACTGAATGCTTTTCCTTTTTAAAAGGGGAAAAAAGGGAAGTAACACCTTTGGGTTTATGTGTTCATGGATAATATCCTGATCCCAGTGAAGACTATGGTAGGAAGACTATAATCAGGATTTTATCCACTCTTGAGTATTTCAGTATTTCATTATTTACTGTTGCATGAATCTTCAGGTTCTAAAGTTAATGTATGTACACTTCTCACCTCCAGAACACACAAGTAAGAACACGATAGGAAAAAACAGAGGAAAGGCAGAACACAGACAAAAAAGTACACTATTAAATTCACTAATTAGTATCTTGAATTGTTAACTTCTAAACATTTACAGAATTTTAAGTTGTAATAGCAAAAGCTTTAGAACACACCTCTTCTGCTAGGACTCTGAAATTATTGCTATTACACCAGCATGCTCTTAACGAGATACTGGGTTGAACACAAAGGCATACTGCTCTCAGCCCTCCAAGGGCCTGGGTTAGGGTGCAGCATGTAACAAAAATCTGAGTGAGAAGAAGGAACCAACCAGACAAGAGACAATACTGCAAAATTGGTCCCTTTTAGTGTAAATAACTATCTCAAATTTTGCTTAAGGACTCCCTATTTCAGGCAATTCTGAAAGTCTGCAGTAAGAAAAGGGAGGGGGATTCTACAAATCTTGTGGGGAATGTGGACAAAGTTCGAAATAAAACAAGTGGTATCCCTCAAAGCAGAGGTACTTTTGAGAAGTATGACAGAGCACATGTGTATCTGCACTATGCTCTCAATACTGATTCGTTATCTTTTAAGACTAAGTAGGGGGAAAAGATCCCAAACCCAAAGAACAAGTGAATCTAAAACAAAAGTGAAGTTCATTGTACAAGTCCATTAAATTACAGAAATGCATAATAAGCCAAGATAAAGTGCTACAAAATGATTAGTGATTTTTAAAAAGTCCATATGATTCTTCTTGCTTTACTTAGTACTGGTGACAACAGGAGATAGTGCAATTGCACCAGCTGAACTGAAGTTCACAATGTCTTCGTATTGTGGGGGTGGATCTAAATGTTGTTCAGTTTCACTTCTCATACTGATTTCACCAGTGGCTTCCTCATATGAAGGAGGAGGATCACAGTTTGAGAGCCTTGTGGATATTGAGTCTGACCGTCCGTCCATATAGCTCAGACCTCCCGGAGAGAGCCCACTGACTTCATACATTTCCTCCTGTGGGGAATGAACAATGCTGAGAGGCGGCGGAAGCGGACCTCTGCTGTCAGCCACAGCACCATCACCCATCGCTTCGTGGGCTCCCCTATGCACGTACACCGACTGTCTACGCATTTTCTTTTTAAAGAGGCATCTCCATATGACAAAAATGACAATGAGGATAACAAAAAGGCCAATGATTAATGGAAATGCAAGGTAAAATGAATACCAGGTATGTCCTGTGTTACTTTCTCCCTGAAGTCCATTTTTGTAGACTTTCCAGAACTCCTTCTAGAAGAGCAAGACAGGATAAGTCAGAAACTATAAGACAGTTAACAAAAAGTAAAAATCACTGTAATCAAGTTGTTTTAAATGAATGAGGAAAGAAAAGGCATTTCAAATACTGATGATTAAAATAAGAACTGCTATGGATAAGCACGCACAATAAACTTTCAAATCATCTTCTGATGTGATTAGTGATACAGAAGGGGGGGTTGTTTTTTAAAACCAACTCCTCATTGCTTTTAAGATTCTCGTGACTGCACTTAGTATTTAAAAATGTGCAGCACAGACAGGACTAGGTGAAAAATAATAATTAAAAAAAAAAAAAATCTGATCAGCATGCACTTCAGGTAGATCCAAATTTTTCAGGTCCACCCCAGGTAAAAGCTAGGGTTTTGTTTGTTTGTTAAAACTGTAATAATATACTAATACAGTTTGACAGGGAAATATTGTTTTGGAATGACAGACCATTTTGGCACAGCACAACTATGTTGTACTGTCATCTCATAATTTAGACTTCCCCCACCCTCTGGCTCATAGAGCAATTGTTGTCAGCTTCTTTTAAGGTGATTCAGATCCTGTGTTTATGGTTAAAAATAGCTCTAGCACTATGAGAATATTACACAGCTTACTATATTCTAAACTTTTTGACAACACAGCTACAGATAAATGGAACAGAAAGTGAAAAGGGAAAATATGAACAAGTGAAAACAAAGATGAAGGGGGACACCGGTACTTGAAAGTATTCTACGTTATATTAATATGCATAAGCAGGAGCACAAAGATCATGCTGCCATTCAATTTTCTCTGCAGTGGATGTTATGAAAAAACAGTACAAAAAACCCCATACCCTGTCTCAAAAATGTTGTTATCCTCACCTGTAATACAAGATCCCTCCTACTAAGAAAGGCTTCCACTACAGTCATGTAAAATTTAAGAAAAAAGTAATTAACACTGCCCCCCCGCCCCAATCCATGCCAGAAACTCTGACCTCTGTAGTTTTCTTTAAAAATTCAGAGACCTGATCCATTCATACTCATGCCAGCATCTATTTTTAAATCATAGCACACATCTCACATGCAAATATTTATAACAGTCACCATGTAAAATTGATACTGTCATTCCTCAGTTATTAGTAAATGATGTATTCAGATTGCAGACTGACTGACTTTGTGCACAGACAAATCAGATCCATCAATTTTTTAAGTTTAGGACTGCTGCCACATGATCAGCATTAAACAAATAATGCCACTCAACTGATCTCAGAGGCAGCAGCATGGCCTCTCTAGCATGGAGGCTAAGCTTGCCCTGTGCAAAGCCAGGACCAGGACACCATGGGCAAAACATGCTCACAGTGCTTCTGGATCAGAGTTTACTAAGGTTAAGAGCAATGCCATGTACATGAAACAATGATCCTGTAGATTTTCTTTTTGAAAAGATAAATACAGTTATTCTTAACCCTATACCCAGTGCAAGTTCCAACAACAACAACAAAAAAATTAAAACCAAAAGTCTTAATTTCTACAGCAATCCAGGATCAGGCATTTTTCTTAAATTCCAAGGCTTGACATCACAAGCAGGTCATCACAGTGCCCCTCTCTGATGTGAAGCTCCAAATCATCTAAGCTAAGTCTGGTAGCATTGAATTCAAAGTAAGCAAGTCTTGGAGTTAGACTAACCTCTAAATACTTCTCTACAAGGGCCTTTCTTGATACATTGTTCCACAGTGAATCCCAGATGAACTGTGCTGACTTTAGAAAAACATGTTTCAGGTGGGAAATTAACATGAAAAAAATTACATTAGCCCCACAACTGAGGACTTTTGAGATCTCTGCATGATAAAACCCAACAAAACCAAACACTTCACCTCTCTCTGCCCACCAGATCACCAGGCAATTAAGAAGATCTGTTACCTATTACCTTTCCATCTGGTTTGAATACAACTAACTAGATTCTCTAGTGGAATAAATAATATTGTCAACTAAAAAAGCAGAAAAGAATTCATTAGGATTATTAAATGTCTGTACTGGAACCAAACTTCCCACTTCACTGTTCTGCTGCCTCAACAACAGCAAAGAAATAAAATGGCACAATGTTTGTTTTTAATGCCAAAGTTGCAAATATTTACTTGAAAGTCATCAAATATACTGTGCAAGGATGTGTCATTTTAAAGACTCTGTGGAGGAGAAAGGTAGTTTTGATGAAAAAGAAGAAATCACACTTTTCCTCTAGCAATATATTTAGTGTTACAGGCTACAGAGGAAATGCACGTTCTCCAATGAAGGGCAGTAAGTTGTGACTGGTATTTTAGTGCAGTTTCCATGTTACTTCTAGCTCAGCTCTATCTGCTGGAGAAAATGTCTCTGCACCTTATTCAGAAAGCTGAAACACCAGCATCTCTCCTTGTCACTCGAAACATGGTAAAGCAGCAGAAGAGCTGTTTTCCCAGAATGGCAGGCAATTAGTTCAGAATAAGGTGTGTGGCTGTGGGGGATGTTCAAGTTGATGGTGTGACCACACAGGTGCATAAACAGCTTAAGGTAAGAGCTTAAACTGCCTTAAGGATGAAAGTAGTTTAGTGTCCACTTTCATTTATATGCAAGGCAAAGGAAATTCCAGGACAGTTTAGACACACACCTCCCTGCCAAAAATTTCAGTGCTTCAGGTCTAAGGCTATCTTACAGAGACAGAGGAATAAAGTTCTGCACACAGGTGAAAAACACTAAGAAACATGCACTTGTTTAGTCATTAAAAAAAAAAAAAAAAATCTTTAAATTTTCCTCTTTGGGGAAAAAAACAACAAACAAACAAACAAAAAACCCACCAAACCCCAAACAAAACAAAACAACCAAACACCACCCCCCCCCCAAAAAAATAAAAACAAAAAACAAAAAAACCCCAACCCCACAAAATCCACCAACCAAAATCTTACTAGTGTACTAGACTCCAGGTTTCTAGCTTGCATTTTTGCAAGCCAAATCTCAAAGAGAAGCACACAGACTGTTAGTTCCAGACTGATGGAAATGACAGGAACTGCAGGAAACTAATACTTCAGGTGTGAGTTGTGCAGCTGCCAAGCAGCTCTCCCTCTGCTCTGTCATCCCACAGCTACATTGCACTGTAAAGTGAAGGCACAGGAGGAGGACAAACCACTTGCCTAAAGTCAAATCATACCAAACAAAACCACGGAGAACTTGGATGAATTTGCACAGTGTGAGGATTTGTGCAAGCTGCTATGAAAAAAAAAACAAGAGGGGAAAATACTGAAAACCTAGGAAGTAGCTGTAGGACTGATAGAGAAAGTTAAAGAGTAATTTCAAAGTTGGAAAACTCACAGCACAAACATCCATTCCACAGTTGCTAGTCTCTTAAACCAACAACAAAAAGGACTTTTTTTCTACTTGACAAAATTGTTAACTCATGATTTATGAAAGGGACACTCCAGCAATCATTTATCCTAGAGTGCTGTACAGCTGGGAATACCAGGTGTATATGCCTTAAAAGGCTGAAAAACTAACTTAAGCAGGCCACAGAATCAGATAACCGCAACGGGAAAGATTGAGAAAACATCTAACATACATTCCTGCAAAGTACTACTTTTCTGAATGTCCCTTACTGCTTTGGCAAATCCAGTTTGAAATAATCAAAAGGAATTCTTAAGGGCATCCCACACAGTTATGGCCAATTTGCCAGAGTTTTGCTTCCCTTTTACTTCTAATACTTCTCAGAACAGTCAGCATCAGTCGACTGGATCTGAACACCGACTCAAATAAGGAATCCACATGAAAGTTAAGAGACTTGCACCCTGCTGAGAATTTCAGCTGAGGCCTTTACTACATTTGACAGCATCGTCAGCCTCAAATGATTCTTGGTCAATTGTCTGACTTGTTTTAAAGGTGGACTAATAATATGCCAGTCAAAAGACTGATTGGTATTCAGTAGGCAGAGGATGCGAACAAAGCAATAATGGGAAGTGAGCATACCTGCTACACTGTTTTCTTCTGGTCTGACCTCAATTTCAGGTGGCAGGGAAGATTCACCTCTTCTGGCTATTTATCCAGCATCCATAATTAGACACAGACTGATGGCAGAACTCCTACTTGATCACATCATTTTAGATCTGGTGCTGACAAGTTTTGAGTTGCTTGCTAAGCCTTTTAGTGGTTTGCTAGTTTTGCTAGAATAGACCTCTACAGAGAACCTTGCCTTAAAATCTCTGGGAAATTTGAAACAAATGAAGATCCGTGACTTCTCGTTTTTAAAATCTTTATGCAGTGTAATTTAAAAACGAGTTAATGGAAATAAAATTAATATCAGTGCTTCAATCACACCCAGATACTTTGCACAGTAACATTTGAACAAATCTTTGAGTCTCACAACAACCTTTGACAACCGACTAGTGACTACATACAGTGCTGCCTGCAGGCTACAGTTATTAAAAATAAACAGCTTTACTAGATCAGACCTAGGGTTCACCTAATCCTTTACCTTCTCTCTGATAACAATTTTACAAACTGCTGAAAGAAGAGCTGAAACATAAGCAGGCAGCAGTACACTCTGAGTTTCCACATATTTGTACTCCAAGAACTTCCATTAGCCAAAGCTGACCCCTTTTATTCAGTGGTTCCAGACTGATTTCCCTTCCGCTCATTTATACCATTGTTCTCTGAACCTGTAAGACCTTTTAGGATCCAAGATATCCTGTGGCAAGGCAGTCCACAGCTCTACTATCTGTGGTGAGATGATACTTCTATTTGCTTTGAGCCTGCAGCTTCTAGTTCCCTTTGAGTCCCTCTTGGCAACCTTCGTTTCTCTGTCAGAAGGATGGCAAGGGACTGATCTCAGTTCAATCTTCATGCACCTCAGAGACATCATCACATATTCCCTGATATAACTCTGTTCCAATCTACTGTTGTAACAGAAGTCTTTTCATACCTTTGGTCAACTGTCACACTTCTCTGGTCCTTCCTCAGCTACTAATTTGCTTTTTAGGAGACAGGCAAATCAGAGCTGTACATGGCACATTCAAGATGCGGGTGTGCAATGACATAATTATGTTCTCTATTCTGATACCCGTTCCTTTCTTCAGACTATTAGCAATCAGGTTTTTATTTTGTTTTGGTTTGTTTGACTGCTGAGCATTAAATTCAAGTCTTCATAGATTCAAATTCAGATCTTATTCCTAAATTCAGTCCATAGCCAAACATATATATAATGAATGTTCCCTTTTCTCCCCATATGCATTACATTTGTCAACACAGAATTTTATATTGTTTTATCCACAAATTCCTGCAAATTCCTCCCTGATGGCTCTAGACTTACTAACATAGTAATATTATCTTTATAATTAACTTTATCATTTTAAATAATAATTCTGAACCTATCAAAATTCCCAAGCCCACACAATATTAAAAGCATTCAATATTTCCATGACAGCTATGCATGTATACTTAAGATACACAATGCTAACTTCCAAGAAAAACTCATGCATCAAAAATAACTTGAGGGAACTGCTTGATATTATTTTAGTATTACAAATCTGGGTGTTGCATACCTCCCCAGAACACTGCAGAAAAAAAAAAAAAAAAGATCCAAATGGACAAGATAAAAAATACAGAGAGGAAGATTACACAAAACAAAGTTATCATGAGATAAATAAGCTACAGACCCTATTTGAATTCCAATCTATACTATGAAATCATTGCATCTTTGTTACTCTGAATATATGGCACCATGATCCTAGTCTACTCCATCCATTTCCTTCCCATGGAGCACAGAAGTTAAGTCTTACTAAGTGGCTGCAAGAATGGGCACTGCTGAGCAACAGTGGACTAAATAAAGCCCAAGTAAATTGCAGGTACAATTTCCCCGTGCAAAACCACACAAGGGATAGCAGCTTTTTTTGAAGATAAATTTTCCAAGTCACATTTTCTAGCAGACGTTTTTTCACTTTAGGTTTATCCTTAAATTCAGCCCTAATTTCATCCATGTCTGTCTTGTATTAAAAAAGAACAAAACAAAAAACAACAACAGAATTCTGGACTGTATTGCTTTAAATAGGTCAGATGCCACCATCAAAAACCTGTGTGCTGTTTTTATTTGTTAGGAATAAGATATGTCGGGTATGATGTGCAGCTATTGCTTGCAGAGCCATTAGCCCACAAGCTTCTTTTAATTAGAGAAGTCAACAGACCTACTCAATGATTCTGTGGGCAGTATCCGCTTCACTCCCCTCAAGTTAATGTATTACTATCCTTGCATAAGACATGGTAACATTGAAATTATTGTTCTTTCCACATTTTAGATCACTGATGCTTAACAACACTCTCTGGGGGCTTGCAGATTTTAGCTTGAAGAAGGCCACTAGTCTTTCCTTATTTTTAGACTATTAATAGTCTGGACACTGAGCACTTTGACTACCTACACCAGCACCTGGGATTTGAAGGTGTATTTTAAATTGAAATATTTTTGAGTTGCTCACTCATTTTATGTGAACATAATCAATAAACAAGTTATTCCAGAAGAAGCAAGATAAATTAAAACTTGTTCCCTCTGCTTCTATATAATCCGTGTAACAGTCCTAATCCCATCAATTCTTTCAAGCAAGGCAACCGCATTTATGATATTCAGATCAGATTTAAGCATGTGATGACAGGAGAAGCAGCACAAAGGCTATCTGGGTAAATAGCGCTGCCAAACAGATGACAGTTTTGTCCACCCTTTCTCAAGTGAGGGTATTAATTCACATTCCTCTTCTTTCCAGCTGACAATTTTCACAAGACTTATAAGCATAATTATCTTTAAGACTCCTACCCCCTTCAAATTCAGTTTAATTAGAATGAAGGATTCAAAAGTTATTGCTGTGCAGTCTATCAATCTCCACCATATACCTTATTTGCTTAAAGAAACAGGTCAAAAAGAGAAACAAATCTAATGTAACGTTGGGAAACACACAAGCATTCAGCACACCCAAAATTCTAGTAGCAATACATGCCACTGATCTTTAAACACACCCCAAAACATACCGTTTTTTCCTCATTTTCAAACGCTTCTCTTGCTTCTTCATAGCTACATATTTCTTCTCTACATTCGTGTTCTATGTCACCTTGCTTTAATTCTTCCAGAAATGTGTTGGCTCTCGGGTATCTTTTTAACACAGAATTGGCTTTGTCCTCCGGTAAGAACACTGAATAAGAGGAGAGACAACAAAGGTCACTTCTAAAACAGGTATTCAAAGCCTCACAGAATCACTTAGGTTGGAAAATACCTTTAAGATCATTGAGTCCAACCATTAAACGCATACTGCCATGTCCGCCACTAAACCACATCCCTAAGCATCACATCTACACATCTTTTAAATACCTTCAGGGATGGTAAATCCACCACTTCCCTGGGCAGCATGTTCCAATGCTTCACAACTCTTTCAGTGAAGGCTTTTTTCCAAATATCCAATCTAAAGCTCCCCGGTGCAACTGGAGGCCATTTACTCTCATCCTATCACTTGCTACTTGGGAGAAGAGACCGACACCACCTTGCTACAGCCTCCTTTCAGGTAACAGAAAGCAATAAGGTCTCCCTGAGCCTCCTTTTCTCCAGGCCAAACAACCCCAGTTCCCTTATCCCTCATCTGCTCCCCACAAGACTTGTACTCTAGACCCTTCGCCAGCTTCATTGCCCTTCTCTGGACACACTCCAGCACCTCAATGCCTTCCTTGTAGCGAGGGACCCAAAACTGAACACAGTATTCGAGCTGCAGCCTCACCAGTGCCAAGTACAGGGGGACAATCACTTCCCTAGTCCTGCTGGTCACACTAGTTCTGATACAAGCCAGGATGCTGTTGGCCTTCTTGGCCACCTCAGCACACTGCCAACTCATACTCAGCTGGCTGCCAACCAACACCCTCAGGTCCTTTTCCCCTGAGCAGCTTTCCAGCCACTCTTCCCCAAGCCTCTGGTGTTGCATGGGGTTGTTGTGACTCAAGTGCAGACCCCAGCACTTCACCTTGTTGAACCCCAATACAGTGGGCCGTGGCCCATCGATCCAGCCTGTCCAGATCCCCCTGCAGAGCCTTCCTACCCTCCTCAGGCAGATCAACACACCCGTCCAACTTGGTGTTGTCTGCAAATTTACTGAGGGTGCACTCGATCCCCTCATCCAGATCATTGATAAAGATATTTAACAGAACCAGACCCGATACTGAGCCCTGGGGAACACCACTTGGGACTGGCCTCCAACTGGGTTTAACTCCATTCACCACCACTCTTTGGGCTTGGCCAGCCAGCCAGTCTTTTACCCAGAGAAGAGTACACCCATCCAAGCCGTGAGCAGCCAGTTTCTCCAGGAGAATGCTGTGGGAAATGGTGTCAAAGCCTTTACTAAAGTCTAGCTAGATACCACCCACAGCTTTTCCCTCATGCACTAAGCAGGTCGTCACCTTGTCGTAGAAGGACATCAGGTTAGTCAAGCAGGACCTGCCTTTCAGAAACCCATGCTGACTAGGCCTGATCACCTGGTTGTCCTGTTTGTGCTGCATGATGGCACTCAAGATTATCTGCTTCATAACCTTCCCCTGCACCAAGGTCAGGCTGACAGGCCCTGTGGATCCCATCTAGCCCCTTAGACATGCGTGTCAAAACGTGCTTTTGAGAAATAAAGAGCTTTTTCAAAGTCTTCCCCTCTTTTTAACATGATAAATGGCCTTTCCTAGCTTTGTTCACTATTGTAAGTAGTTGGGCCTACAATTTCAGGAATTATTGCTATAGTATCATAAATTCTATGGACCTCAATTCAGCATCACAGTCATGTGTGCTTAAACAAGATTGAAGCCAGCACCTAAGAGTGCTCAGAAGAGACAGGCACGTGCTCAGCTCAAGTGACTACTTAAACTATGATGACACAGAACAAGCAAATCATGCTTGTCAACATCCAAAAGGTATTTGCAACTGCCTGAGGACATCACAGCCAGAACGCTCTGAAGTTTTTTATATAAATATTTATGAATATTTCCCAGAGCCACACACACCAGAACAGGTGCATTTATCAAATTTGAAGTCTACATGTTTTCTTAAGCAACTCTGAAGCAGACTTGCTCCCTTCACTTCAGAAATCTCAACCATGAAACAGTGACCTTTTTGGAGGTGTGTGGGGCAACTAGCCTCTTTATATTTTCTTGAATGATACATAAAACCTCACTTTATTTGATTCATCAAATAAAAACCCCAAAAAAGCAACATTCTGACACAGGTATTCTTTATTTGCTTTCCTTAGTTTTCTGTTCAAGGAAGAGAGCTGGAAGCAACCTATTTTCTTCTGATGTTCCACCTTCCCCTCAAACTCCTTGACCCAGTGATTTTTACAGTAATATGCAGCAAATGGAACACTCCAAAATTCAGCAGACTGAATTGTCCAGGAGGTACATCTGCAGTGAGTGATGCAGAAATTCTCCAGGTATTTCAGTTCAGGAAGCAAGAACATCATTTCAATGAAACCCTGTTCCTGGGCTCTCAGTGTTAGTAAGAGGGGCTAGTTATTCAGTGCACTGCCATACTAACACACTCGTACCGCTTTCCTCGCCTATGCAATCAATTCTGCATTGGTTCATTTACAGCTATTCTGGGACCACTGATATGCTATGAAGACAAACTCACTATCTGCTGAAGGACAAAGACTGCCTGGTTTAAGCAATGATTTATCTATAATTTTATATGAATCAGTTTGCTGGCTTTTCTTTCCTTAATCATCTGATTTTGAATTTCAAAAAAATATGGCATCAACTCTACAAAGATGATCACTATGCTTTTGCTTTAAGACGGATGTGGTGGCATTCTTCAGGAATTAGGCTATTACCATCATTAGGCTGATCTACTTCAATTTAATTTTGTTTAGCCTCTGTGGTATACTTTGTTATAAATCGTTAGACAGTCATCTTCCTTTTGCAAAGGATTAAATGAAGATTTGAAGACTAAAGTCCAAAACAACAGTCACTCCTACACTTTCAGTTGAATACATGTAGTATGTACACTCACCACACAAATTACACTATTCATGATGTTGCCAGAGGTTCAGTGCATACAACTCTAGAACTGCACCTATTACAATTTTGGTTTTCTACAGCACCACAGGTGAACACATGGGCATCTCCTACTGTGTAAGTGCACTGACTAAATAACATAGAAATTAATATTCAAAAATCTCTTCAAAAAAGAAAACAAAAAAATGAAGGCTTCCTTCCATTTCCCACACAATTCTCCCGACTCCTCTTGAGGCCTGAAGAACTTGGTTTCTTTCAATATGGCTCAGCGATCACCTAAACACGATGAGCTGAAGGACTTGTCCACATCAAGAAGCCAGAATGAAGTCATGCATGGGGATAGACTGCAGAGCTCTATCTATGTCTCACCAACTCCTTCTGTGGGCGTTCCTGAAGCGGAAAAAGCTACAGCCCGGAATTTCTTAAGAGTGCCCATATGTGGAGTCACTGAAGAGTAGATAATGCATGATAAATCAAGTTTCCCTTCCTTTAGCAGATAAAATCTAGGGAATTTAATTTCACAGCTGGAATCCATCCCTGAAAAGAGCAATGAGAGAAACTATGACAGCTTTGTCCTGCATGCAGAGGGAAAAGAAAGGAAGAGGAAAAAGCAGGTAGCTGAAATTTAAAGTTTCTGGCTCTCAGAAACAATATACAAATCTTTGTTTCTGCACACACTTTCCAATTTAGCGAAGAAGCAAACTGAGAATAAAGGTTTAAAAGCTGGTATATAAGGAAATACTGTATTTGATACACATTGGGATGTGTCTCTAGGTAATAGTTCAGTTTTACAAAAAGAGCTAAGCATACATTTCTGTTTCAAATGAAGAACAGCAAAACATTATAATAATTCAATATTCAAGAATGGCCAATATATGACTACCTAAAAAACCCAACTTTTTTAATCAGCAATTCATATTCAGAAAATCTCTCTTCTCTCACAATACAGTATAGAAAATACATACATCACAAAGACAAAAAAGCCCTCTGAGGAAAATAAACCACTCCTCATATTAATTCTGAATGTATCTGATAAATAACGATCTATGATTAGTCCAGACCAGGAACAGCTTTTGACCCTGCAAGGCTGGAAAAAGTTAAGTATATTAATTTGTTTTGATTTGACATTTTTAAAGCTCCATATATTCCTGGTGACTTTAAATCCTATTGCAAAGTCAATACAAATGTAGCTAGGAAACATAAAAATATACACTGATCAAAGCAGTCTTGATGGAGATAGTGATTGAAATACAGTGATTTAATGAGAATCAGTCATTGTCTGATGAATCGTATAAAAAGAGATAATGGAACCATACTGCAGAAACCACTTAATATTCCAGGATCATCATCACACAGACATTCAGTTATAGTTGCATAGGTGTGTGTGAAAAAAAAAAAAAGCTTTGGGTTGGATGCCCATCTAGCCAAGCTACCGCATAGCTGAATTCACTACAGCTGTTACTATGGAGCAGAAATTAATCATGAAAGAATTGCATGTGGCAAGAATAAAGTCAATCAAGCAAGATAAAACTTATTTTTTCACTTTGTTAAGGAGATTAACTAGCAAATACAAGATAAAAGAAAAATGAAAATGATGATTTTGGCATTATGTTAGATAGACACAGAAACAACTAATCTAAAGCCTCTTCCTCTCCTCCAATTTTTGTAGAATATAGATGAAGATCTACAACTACCAAATTTAATGCATTTGAATATGCATTTATTTCTTCAGACATGCTTGTGCTCTGCGTGTAACTGTAATACTTGGCTTTTAGCAAGTTTCTATGTGTCAGAAAACTACAAAGAAAACAATTCCAAAGTCTTAGTTTCACTTGCTATTATTGAAGAGATTAACACAGTCAGATCAAGCTATTATGCATTCTCTGGAAAATGTGTGTGCTACCATAATAGTGAATAGATACTCTAGCAAGGTGAAATTCAATCAGAATCAGAAAGAGACAGGCAAGGACACAGAGGATAAATACATCTCAGCCTGTCAGCTGAAGCTGTCACAGGCAAAGAAAATAGGCTTCAGGTCTTTAGCGATAGAAGGAACAGGGGGCAGTGGTGTGGGAAAAGTATTCTGAGACACAAAAGTGTTCTGAAGCAAAGCCCAGGATATCCTGGACATGAAAACCAGCTCTGTTGAGACCATTATTGAGGCTTCCTTTTTCTGACTCCTCACCAGCACTCAAGCAGATTAAAACCACCACTAAATATTAGAATTAAACATTTAATTTTAAATTTGAAGCTGCAGCTACTGATAAATTTGAATCTTTCTGTAGGTGATCTTAATAAAACTATTTGGTTTGCACATGGCAGAAGGGAGAAAAATTATCTGAGCATTTGCTTATAAAGCTTAAAAAATTACTTTGCTCTTAGAATCTGGAGTTACTGGGACAAGCTTAAGAACAGTACTCAAGGCTGGAAATTTAGCTCTGTGGTCTTCATTCCGCTGCCAGCTTTCAGAGGTCCACAAGTAAGTCTGTGATGATTATTACGGTCTGCATATAATATTTCTGTCAGAACAGTAGTATGATTCCTGTTCAGTTTAGTGTGGGCAAAGATCTGCATCATATGTAACACCAAAAACAGTTCAATAGCAGAGGCCTTTTTTTGTGCAAACTGACTGCTGTTTTGAGCAGAGGACAGCTTTGGGTTATGTCAATGCCCACTTCACAGGGAATAATAACACACACGCATCACTAAGTTAACAAACTTACCACTATCCATGATGATTACTGTCAAGGCAGGGAACTTGCAAATATCAAGTCTGTAAACAAAAGAGGAAACATCCTGTTGAGTTTGTGAATTACAATGGACTTGGAAAAGTTTCTCTCGATTCCCAAATATTGTTACAAATATATCAGTGCTGGAAACCCCGTGATCAAGATTAATCCCTCTTTTGAGTAGTTGTACCACTACTACACAATTTCAGCAGTATAGGAATACTATCCAAAAAAAAAAAATTCTTGTGAAATGGTGAATGCTTCAACCTTTTTCAAAGCTTTCAATTTTTAGAATATGCAAAAATATTAATACGAAATAGAAGGTGTGTATCATTTTAAATGAATCTGCAACCTCTGTTTTACCTAACTGAACTTGAAAGGTATTACATTCTCCACTGTAATTACTCAAACCTTATCTAAGACTTAAATTTACTCTGCAGAGATCACCAAGTCAATTCATTACCTTTAGTCTATGGATCAGATTTATTGAAATCAGAATGAACACATACAAATTCATTCAGAGTCTGCTACTGATTAAAACAGGATGACTGAGTAAAGTTCAAGGGCAGAACAAGACCTGTGATTTGGCAAAGGAACTTGCAATATATAAGAGGATCCCAACCTGTCCAACAAGAATTTACATGTACTTTATACCTCATCTTGGAAAGAGAACAGACAAGAGATACTCTCAGTCAAGAAAGCGCCTGAAGCTCATTGCACCCACCAGGCAAAAAGGCAACAAGAACTGCCTGTGAAGGCAGCAAGAGTAGTTTGAGAGACTGTTTTCAGTTTCTTGGAGTCTTTGTTAGTATGGAAAAAGTTAAAAAAATAAAAGCTTTCACCAAAGTATGAGAAAGGCATAGCTATCTAAGCTGGTAGAAAACCATGAGGTTAAAGTTTTTTTACTAATAAATTACCTACTCCTAAAGGTTAGCATTAATTCTACTTCAGAAGCCAGGTTACACATCAACATATCATACGATACTAATGTCCTCGCTCTTCATAGAACCAAAACCTCATCAGCAAACCTCTCTGTAAAAAAATTGTAACTATGCACAGTTTGGCCACAGTTGCTGTAATAGACAAAGAGAGAAAATTAACACTTCCAGCATGGCCTGTCCAACACTGTAATTTGTCGTGCAAGAGCAGGTTGCAGAACTTGTAAGGACTGCTGCCGAAGTGAATGGAGCTCAATAAAGACATCCCAGTCTGCTAACAAAGCTGCAGGATTGGGACCACAAGACACATGGGATAGAGGAGTAAACAGATATTAAAGCAAATTCATCAAATCTCTGTAAAGTCAAATAAATGTGAATAAACAGCAGACATTAAAGCAGTCTTAAATCTCACCACCAGTATTTAGCTTTTCATTACCAAGTATTGTAGGGCAACAGAAGCAGAGGGCTTAAAAAAATTCTTCAGAATCTATATAACCTCTTTTAATAGCCTGTATTTTTCTTTGCAGAGTACTCTCTGTAAAGCTAAAACTGCTTTTCTCTCACACACACACTAAGTTACTCGTGTACCTATTCTGTTCATCTGTTACATCATTAGTTTCTTTTTCCAATTATTAGCCACCAGTTTCAGCTGCTTTTGCAACTGTCTCTCAAGTAAGATTCACAGCAATACAAGAGCAAGACCCCTGACTGCTCACTTGCTCTGCTGAGCAGCAGTAATGCAGTGCATGAATTGAACCCTGCCAGGCTTCCCCTCTCTAATGGGGATGCTGTTCTGCACTAAATTTCAGTTAGTCTTTAATATTTCACCCTTTTACCAAATAACTTGGGTGTGGATTTCACCAACATAAAAAAAAAAAAAAAAAAAAAGGCAGAACGCACGCATCCACATCCGTGCTCACTGAGTCACAACTACATGGCTCTGCCTACTGGGAACTGTGGCGGAAACAAGGGGACTAACGTGCCTCTCCCCTGATGCAGAACATTTTCCACCAGAAGCAGAGTGTGACACTGTTGAGGTATGCAGTGCTGCCCTGGCACCTGGTGCTGGGTGCTTGGTACATTGTGATTTTTGGGAATGAACAACAGAATACTGACATACACAGGTTGGGAATGGGGAAAAACATGGAGGAGGAGAAGAAAACAAAAAACAGAAAAACACCTTTTATTTTCTTCAGTGGAAATTGAGGCAAGTATATTATGAGCTAGTGACAAAATAAAGATTTGCTGAATTGGCAGCAAAACACAAATTACATTTATCTTCACCCTTCCTTCATTAGAAAAGGAACTAGTATACCCTTCTCTAGGAAATATCAAATACAGCTTTCCAGTGGCTCTGGTTCAGAAACTTCCCTTCAACAATCTGCATTAGATTCTTACAGCAATTACAGGTATTTAGAGCTCCCTGGAATGAATTATGTCAATTTTCCTACAAATGTGTGTCACTTTTATGTACCGCTGCCTTCCTTCTCAGTATCTCCTCTAGCTTCTTAATTTCCAAGCTCTCACAAAATATAGCTAGCTTCCTGCTGTGACACCCAAATACCTACCAGGCAAGATGCTAGTTGACACAGGCAATGGTTACCCTGACACTACATGGACATTACACTCACAGAGCAGACTTTCTCACTGCAGAGGAACAGCTTGGGTCTCTTCCCTCTACTTAGCTGCCCCTTCTCCTAAAGGGAAGGAGCTCAATTATATCTTGGCCCTTTACTGACAGTCTTGGTTCAAATTGACTAAATAGTTCACAGGCTGTTTGGAAGAAGGGATTGAACAGAGACAACTGCATAAATATTTTTACCTTCATAAACCAGCTAATAAAACTGAAGAAGGCTGGCAACACTACAGGACTATCTTTACTTGCTACTGACTCATTTACTCCTCTACCCAACTTTATTTACTTTCCTGCTTTAAAGTCTTCATGAACCATACTGAAATCTAGGCTGGTCCTATGGTGTCAGAGCAGTATTTTTCATCTATGTACACAAATGGAAGAACAAAAAAAACCTCCACAGATGTATCTTACTAGTAACATCAGTGTTTATTGTTTCAGGAATCCCTCTTCCAACTACCTTCTACATATTATCCCCTTCTACACCTTTCAAGAGGTTACACATCACCTTAGATTTGCTTGTGGAAAAAGTGACAACATGATGGACCACAAGGATAGCACCATTGCCAAGCTGAGTGCCAAATTCTGAGTTCAATGGTAAGCTGACATACCTGACCAACAAGTGATCTCTTCTGACTGCATACTTGGCTGTCAGTATAAAAACAAAACAAAACTAAAACAATCAACCATCCACTTCTAGTAGAAAATGTAATGACTCAATGGGAAATACAATGAGTTCTAAAGCATATGAGACAGCAAAGGAGACATACCAACAAGGCCCATGCTATTTACCATCAGTACTGTGCTCACTACCAAAGGGCTGTAGCATCTTAGTGAAGAGCAACATTTTGCCTGAATGTTTAAGGAACTAATATTGAAGTAACAAACCAAGCTGTACATTTATTTTCACAACTAACCTAAATATTTTTTCCTCAATCCTGAAAGTGTCCAAACCTTGTATACACTACGTATAAGCACAAAGCATAGAATATTTTTATATAGATTCCCAAAGCTGGTAATCATATTCTAGCAGTGCAGTGTATCCCTTGAATTGGGAAGCTAAATAATTTCAGCATTAAAACAGGACAGCATTTCTGCACGATTTTGTTGCATTTGTTTAGGTTGGCAGGTACACCTCTTCTGGGCACATTCCCTGACTACAAGTTTAATGGAAACTTTTATGCAGCACGTACTGTTAAAGGACAGAGGATCTGATGGAGGGCACACAAGTCCAAACCGCCTTCACTATTCTCACTTGCTGACTGTCATATATTCTAGGGAGACAGAACATCAAGAACAAAGCAAGTCCTTAATAGAAGGAAAAATAAGGATAACATAAAGCAGCAGCAGTATTTTCCCTCACTCAGTTTCTCACTTGCTGCATTAACAGTGGCTCAAAACACTGCAAGGCCATCATGCTCCTCCCACAGCTGGGGAGGGAGACACAGTACAGTACCCAGATAGTAAAGAGGCTTTTTTCATTCTGCAATACAACTCTAACAGGGGATACAGATGTTAATTTTAGTTCTGTAATCTGTAAAACTAATGAGACCATTGGGATGTAATTTATAACCTGCTGCTACTTAGAGCTATATAATTTCTTAAAGTTATAAATATTTAGGTTCTTCTGGAGCTTTTTATGAAAGCAGGTATGTTCAAGGGACATTGCTAACTAAATCAGTAGATGTTCAATTTAAAAATAAACCCACTCATTTCTAGTCCTCAGCCCCAAACCAGATGCAATGCAACAACTGAAACACTCCTGTGAGAGGTTTGTTTAGAAGAAAAATTAAAGCATTAAATAATTACAGAGGAAGACAGATGATAATTATCTGACTGCCATTTATTCAAAATGTGTATGTTCCTACCTAAAATTCCCAGTCCCACTGCATGTGTCTTTTACATCATTGGAAAAAATGTTACAGAAGACTACAATTTTACTTATTATAATCTATTTTAAAAGAACTTTTTTCCACAGGAAAAGTGTGCAAAAGAATTTACATGGATTCAAATTCTGGAGAAATATATTGATTTTTCTCTGAACAGGAAGTCTGTAGTTTAAGGATATGGGAGAATCCTGTATTTATTAAGTTTGGTTTCCTTGAAACAGCAAAGTTTTCCAGGGAATTTGGGTGAGAATGAAGAAAGATGAAACATTTTGGAAACTACTCTATCAGATATCAATACAAAAGATTTGTCCCACCTGAGACTACACTGGACGATAAGAGTGAAATAAGACCTGAAAAAAATCCTCCGCTTGTAGGTGCTATCCAGTCACAGCATTATAAAACATTATCATTACTTTTGATTACACATGGACCCAAAACCACAGACCAGATCGATATGAGAAACCTATACTTAGCAGACTGCCATTATGTTTTAAAACCAATAAAATACACTATTACGCGCAGAACTATCATGCTGAGTACAACTCTTGGGCACCGCCCTATTAGCAGAGAGAAGGTGGCTCCTC